GGACAATTTTTTTGAACTGGGTTAAGGGTCAGATTGAGATTTATTAGTCTCACCTAATAGTAGATCAATGTCCAATTGATCAATAAGGTCACTTGATTGGCTTTCTTTAAACAGGAGAGTCATATCCTGAAGGGCTTTGAAATCTCTACTGGAGTACTGAGACCAATAAAATGACTCTTTCCTATTGTCTGATTTTGCATGCTCACACCTAAGGGAGAGTTTTCTGGCAAACAACTGAAGATCCTTGACCACCTCAAATACATCAGCATTTTGACATGGAGAAAAAATCAGCCCACGAGACAAGTTTTTTTCGGTTTGATTTAATGTATATGAGGACAAATTAACAATATTTAATGTGGTAGTTAGGCTCTGGTCAGGTAATGTTCTATGCCCCATCTCGGTCTCCCTCGTGGGAGGCCTCTCCCTGAGTTCAACCTACAAATGTGATGTGATTGGTGTATTCCTAACAAATTGTAGGTGTGCTAGAGGAATCGGCAAAAGAAGATTCCAACTCGCCTACCACTTCACCTTCTGTGCGAGAAAATGTGTTGAGTTAGTGTCTAGTGAACATTTTTTTATCTCTTGTTCAAAGGAACCCCTACTATTGCGATTCTTTTTAAGGCAAGCTAGTCCTCTATTCGGAGTACCATTCATCGGAAGAGAGGAGGAGGAATCAGAATAAAATGGTGTATTATTGGATTGTGAAACTCCTTGTGTGTCATGTGTAATGCGGGGGTATCTCCTCTTCTGGGGGTAATTATGTTTAGAAACTGTCCACCTGTACGCTTTTCCTTCCAAGAATGCTGTTTTGTCTTGCCAAAATTTGTTTTCTTTCTTGGACAATATATACTTATTCAAATCTGCCAGACCCTCCCTTAATTTACTCTCCAATTCAGGATACAAAAGGTTGGTTTAAATACAAATAGCAATTTCTCTACATTCTCAATATCTTTATCTAGGGACAACATCTGTTTATTATATTCCGTAGTCAAGATGGACATCATTTTCTGTGAGCATAATTATAAATTCTCCTCCCACTCCCTTTTAAATTCTTCACTTATTTTTTGATGTTGGGAAAAATCTGGAACCTTAACCCTAATGAGTTAATCTTCTCTCTAATGTATTTTTCAAATGATTTAATATGCCAAAAAAGTGTAGATTTCTTCTCCAGAAGTTTCCCCAACCTCAAAAACAGTGAAAAAATCTGTTTCAGTTTCTTCTTTCTGAGAAAAATCAGTCTAAGTAGACATTAAATTTACCCATTCCTGGCCCTGGAACTCACTTATGTCGAATTTCATTCCTTTCCCAAAGCACACAACACTTGTAAAAAAGGGGATGTGCACTGTACAAAAGCAAAAATGATTTTTTATAAATTATTATAAAGTTGTAATATGGAAAGATACTCTATTGGGGAAATTTTAAGGGTGGATAACATCAATCAAACTCATAGCCAAAAAGTCGAGTATCTGGCTGCTCATCCCCAGTACAAATACACATGAAAAACTCCCCTATGGGACTTTAATTCAGCAACCATACCATACTACATGTACTCATAAGAACTTCTTTAAAAAAGACACATACTTTATTTCATAGACATACTCATCATAGAGAGCTGGGGACCGTTCTTTAAAGCTTCCCCCTTTGGGTGGAGCTCCACTTTAAGCTCCTTGTAACCACTCCAGCTCCAAAATATTCCCCCCCCATCATGACCAGGCCATTTTCTGCTATACGACACTGCGTTACTTTATTGGACTATTGCACGGTCTTGCAACGCTGTACATAAATTAAATTTATATAATTTTTTTCCCACAAATAGAGCTCCTTTTGGTGGTATTTTAGTACCTCTTGTTTTTTTTTTTTTTTTTTACTAACAAAAAAACAACTTTTTTACTTTCTGCAATAAAACATATCTAATTAAAATTCTAATTTCTTCATAAATGTAGGTCAAAATGTATTCTGCTACATATTTTAGGTAAAAAAAAAAAATCCCAATAAGCATATATTGATTGATTTGCGCAAACGTTATAGCGCCTACAAATTATGGCATATATATACTGGAATTGTTTTTTTTATACTAGTAATGGCAGCGATCAGCAATTTATAGTGGGACTGCGATATTACAGTGGACAGCCTGACACTGACACTTTGTAGGAACCAGTGACACTAATACAGTGATCAGTGCTAAAAATATACACTGTAATAAATGAAACTGGCTGTGAAGGGGTTAACATCTAGGGCAATCTAATGGTTAAATATGTCCCTATCCAGTGTTTTACTATGTTCTGTTTTTAGTAATAGATGTGCTGGATTGCATTCCCTGCCTTGCAGGGAACAACAATCCAGTACATCACCAGTGACAGGACACAGTTTATTTACATAGACAGAGTCACTCTCCTCAATGATCAACGGGTGCCAGCGCTCATCTATTGGCCAGCACTGTTGATTGGCTTCTGCTGTGTCAAATCAGAGAGTCATTTAGCGCCCCATGAAAGAGGGAATGTTGGATAAAAGATTGAAATGTATCAGATACAACATCAGAAGCAGACAATGCTATATAGAGAATGTTTATTTGGAAACATATGGGACTGAAAAGTTAGATATGTGGTCGATTCAGAGAAATAGTTGATTGGGGTGGGAAAAATCTAAGTAGTCCTTTTTTGTCAGGTGCATTTCACCTCTGCTAAACCAAATTGGGTCATGTCTTTGAAGTGTTTAGATTCTAAACACTAAGGGAGAGGATGAAAACAGCAGTTTCTTGTCCAAGCAAGAGACCAATGTTGGGTTCGGATCTCCACAAGGTAAACTCTGCAGACAGCCTCAAGAAAATGCCACAGAAATAGTAGAAGTAAGAAATTATGGTTACTGCTGTAGCCTGGATAAATCATATTAAAATAAAACCAAAAAGGAGCACCCTGTCATAACAATAATGTAAATAGTAATTACATTGCATTCAAGTCCAGAAAGTCCAAGGATGCTAATGTCTAAAAGTCACAGTTTAATAAACCCGCAACAATAGTTGCATTTGCAAAGTAAAATATTGCCATATCCCATAAGCCCGATCCTGATGATACACCATATACAGTGTAGGAAAATGTAAATCACATACGAATGTCATAGCGGCACATACCAGGCTGTCACCAGTTTCCGGTTCCAGATACAGTTGTGCTCAAAAGTTTGCACACCCTGGAAGAAATCGTGAAATTTTGACATTGATATTGAAAATATGACTGATCATGCCAAAAAACTCTTTTATTTAAGGATAGTGATTATATGAAGCTTTTTATTATCACATGGGTGTTTTGGCTCCTTTTAAAACATAATGAAAATAGAAATCACCCAAATGGCCCTGTTCAAAAGTATACATACCCTGTCTTTGGTGTTAAATTAACAACAGGTGTACTAGATGGGCAACAATGAGACAACCCCCAAAACGGGAAACTAACAGGTGGAGGCCACTGACATTTTTTTCCCTACTCATCTTTTCTGACTGTTTTTCACTAGTTTTGCATTTGACTAGGGTCAGTGTCACTACTGGTAGCATGAGGCGATACCTGGACCCTACAGAGGTTGCCCAGGCAGTCCAACTCCTCCAGGATGGCACATCAATACGTGCCATTGCCCGAAGGTTTGCTGTGTCTCCCAGCACAGTCTCAAGAGCAGTGTTTCTCAACCTTTTTCTTAGTCAAGGCACCCTTTAAAATTATGGACAGTCTTGAGGCACCCCATTCTAAAATGAGGGGCCTCAAGACTGTCCACAAAAAAAAAAAAAAAAAACAAAGCACACATGCAGATAAGAGAACTCCGAATTTGTACACTTACTCTGGCCATAGATAGATCGAAATTTGGTCAGTTCAGAAGGGACAAGCCAAATTTTGATCCATTGGCAGGCTGGTTGTACAAAAGTCGATTTATTGACTTGTGTACAACCAGCCTGTCAGGTTTTTCCTAAACGATCAATGCCATAAGCTATAGCCAGCTACCCTGATTATTGTATTCCGCTGGCGGCAAAGGCTTCCCACTGTCAGAATACAATACCACAACGGGGAAGATTCCCTCATCTATCTCAATGGGATAGTTGGCTAATTTTTTTTCTTGTTCTGGTTGAACAAAAGAAAAAAAATGAATCATTTATGGTCAGCATTTGGGGTCTGTTGATCAATGTTTGTCACCCAAGAGTCGCACAGCTTTCACACATTTTTCTTGTTTAATCTCGTGGAAAATTATTAAATCTTAGGTGAACGTTTTTAGTTAATCTCTGGTGGTGTAAAAAATTATAAACAGACCCCCTATTCCAGGTCACTGATACAAAGGAGAAGATTTACAGAAACTGGAGCACTTAGAATCTGGTGCAGCTGTGCATGGTAGCCAATCAGCTTCTAACTTCAGCTTGTTCAATTAAGCTTTGACAATAAAACCTGGAAGCTGATTGCTTTTTATGCAGAGCTGTATTAGATTTTGCACCCTCCGGTTTTAGTGAATCTCCCCCGAAGTACTAAAATAAAACCGCATAACTACATTTGATATAAACTACTTAGGCAAAGAAAAATTTGGAAGGGGTGAAACATAAGATGAACTCTTCTCGGTTTTTTTTTGTTTTGTTTTTTTAATTGGAAAAAACTATATAACTTTAGCCCATTGTATAATTTTATATACAGGCATTATAAAGGCTGCCATGTGCAAAGGGACATGAGAGGCTGTAAAAGGAGGAAAAACAAGGTTTTGGCTGTATAGAAAGGTGTCTTTTATGATGGTTAAACCCCATTGTATAAGGTAGTAGGTATTAGGAACAATAAATAAAAAGGTTTCCTAAAATGGCATCTGTTAAAAACTCCTTTTGCTTAATCCTCAAACTTTTTGTTGCAAAAACAATAGTCAAATAGCCAAAGCTGCAAATAATATATTAATATATATTTATCCTGTAATCCTTTTGCCTTAGACTACATTATGGTTTTCATTTTTGTTTTGTGTTGCAGATTGGACCTTGAAGGACGAGAGCAGCCATGGATGACTTCAGTTCTATTAGCCTGTTATCCCTGGCTATGTTGGTGGGATGCTACGTGTCAGGAATAATTCCCCTCGCAGTCAATTTCTCGGAGGTATTGAAAACAGTTTACTTTCTCTGAGTTGCTTCGCTAGTTTTCCACCTCACCGTTCAAACAACCTTCAACCCCCTGAGCAGGATGTGAATTCTCGGCCACTTTTTTGTTTTAGGCATATGAAATAATAAATAGCTTGCATTGTTTGTCTTTTAGTTTAACTTTTCAGTCTGATCCTAGTTATTATTGTTGTATGACATCAAATCAGATCAGCCAGTGAATTTTAAATACAATTGAACTTTGTGAGCTCAAATAATTGCATACATTCATATTCTGCTAACATTTTCCAGTAGGTTTTTTTCCTTGAAAGCTAGAATTAATGTACAGCATGCGTTGTTGAACCTATAACATACTGTATATTTAGATTTTGTAGGCCTCTAATTCTTTTTTTTGTTCAATCTGATTTTATTGAATTACAAATGGTACATACAGATAGCAAGTATGGCGTTTGGGAAGTAATAAAAGATCTCCAGTGTAAATAAATTAAGTCACACAGATTCAGATTATAGTAGAAGTTCATAGGCATGAAAAAAAGAAAGGTGCATAGCTCAAACTTTGGTATCAAACTTCGTTGCATTGAAAAGGTAAGGCTTTGTAGAGTAGACTAATATTCGGACACTCATGCAGATGTATGCTAAAGGGATCACAGATACAAGGTATACATCAGTGATGCTTTTTCATAATGAATGGAATGGATTCAGATAAGGAATAACAAGTATGAGATAGGTGGTAGAAGGGCTGGAAAGGATAAGGCAGGCATGGCAATGACGGGCTGGATACACTCCGTCATGGCTGAGTAAGGATGGAATCAGAATCACTCTTGGCCCATGATAGAAACTCAGATGAGTAGCGGAACATGGACTCTGTGGTCCAAGTGTGAGCAAACTGTTCTTCCTTTCCTGCGCCAATTGTTGTTCTAGGTCTCTTTATGGAGTTCACCCTATTGGCACTTTTGCCAATCAGAGAGAGAAATCGTATGATGGAGCTCCGCTTCCCAGACCTGCGTTTAAAGTGGGAGATTAGAGGAAGATGTATTCAGAAGTATAGGATACAGTTGAGAAACTACGTGGGTTGGAGGGTCCTCCCTGCAAACGCAGAGATTCAGATTCCATCTGCTTTGCGAGAATGTCTTGTAGTAAAGGGATATATGACACAGCTTGTTGCCTCTGTAGCCACCGTGTTGGGTTGTGTAAGAGTGTCACAGAAGAAGTAGCTGTTGTTAAGGACAGGTCTGCCTGAAGAACTTGAGCAAGTCTCGTTTGAACTTGGGCAAACCCCACTTTATGTAGAGCCGGTGGGAAACCCGGGGTCCCAAAAAAAGGAGTCATAGGTCCCATATATTTAGCTTTTAGCTAAGAGCATAAGTCTTGTGGTCCCACAAGGGAATTGTTTGTCAAGTGAGATCACTAGGGATAAAGAGACCCTTGCGGTAGATAGGTGAGGCACGGAGATCAATAGGGTTTATGTGACCTTCCCATTGAGCCCATAGCTTAGAAGAATGTTGGAACCAGTCCAGAATTTGGGTGACTATTGCTGCCTTGTGGTAAACGGAAGCATCTGGGGCTTATCTGGGTTTTTCGCTTTTAGGATTGACACTGCAAGGTTACTCAAGCTATCCGTGATTTGGATTTATATATATAAATCCAAATATATATAATGCGTTCAAGTCAGATCAGCACCTTTAATTTTACAGGTATAAAAAGGGATGCTAGCGTGGCGGAACTACACGTAGTAGTGAGAGGCAAGTGTGTCCTATTACTGATGTATATGCACAAATGTCACAGGCCAGTCAAGATGGCAGACAACAGTGTTGGTGCGTGCATGGAACAGTGTGTGGTGATGAAGTTTCTTGTGAACGAAAGTGTAAGACCCACATATATCTACAAAAGTCTTCCAGCAGAGTATAGTGATTATACGCTCATCTGTAAAAAGACATTTGAATAGTGTAAACATTTCAAAGATGGCTGTATGTCCGTCAGTGGCAATCCCGGCCATGGTGGTTCACATCCCTCTGCAGTAATTCCTATGAACGTTCAGCGTGTGGAACGCCTGTTCCTGAATAATCAACGCATAACCTGTAGTGAAATTGCACATGAGATGAATCTTTCTATGGGAATGCTGAACACGATGATAACATGAAGCAGGCTGTCCTAGGATGGATTAGGTGTACTGACAAATCTTGCTATGCTGAAGCTTTCCTGGCGTTAGTTAAATGCTGGGATAAGTGTATAAATGTAGCAGGGGAGTACATTGAAAAATAAATGCAGTTTCCACTCCTTGAAATTTGTTTTTTGATTTCTAAATTCAAAAGTCCCGGTTTGACTTGAACGCCCCCTCATATATATATAATTTATAATTTTGCCCTAGTAACATAGAGCTAGCAGCCCTATAATATTGTCCACGCGTTTCATCAAATCTGACAGATGTTTGTTAGGGGACTATTAAATTGTGCCCACCTTCACATTATAGAATTGTTTACTGAAAGGTAATGGAGTTCTGGATTCAGTTACAGGCAGAGATGCTATCTGCATGTTCTTGCTTGATCTGAACTAATCCATTCAACGGACCTCTTAACCACCTTTGTTTAATGCACAGACAGGAAGTGTTGATGTAAAGTTACAGCAGCATTAGTGATTTTGAAGCTTTGAAATGGTGTCCCTGTTGGTAATTGCCCACTTTGAAGGTGAGATAGTGCAAGATTCCTGACTTGTGAGAAAATATTCTTCGTATCAGAAGGCAGACAAAATATGGAGCATGGTAAAAACAGTTTTGGCTCTACAGGGCCTCTACCATTAATCCCTGAAAAGGGCAAAACGTGCTTTTGGAGTTCTCCACAGGTAGACATAGAAACTGAAACCTTTCTTTTACTAATTTCATTCACATTTATGCAACGGTGTCTGTCAGACGGCCACCATTTTGTTGAAGTTTTCTGGAGCCTGACAAGCTGATCCTTGTCTGTCTTTTACGAGACTATTCACATGCTGATCCGACTGACACAGGCTTGGGGAGCATTCGAGCTGTACTTTTTTTTTTTTTTTTTTTTTTTTTTATTTATTGCTTTGGGCTACATACAAAACTGTTTTGTGAGTAGGTATGGGTTCCAATGTACCATTTGAAAAATTCCACATGCAACCAGGGTGCTGGAATTGTAGGTGGTGTCAGACAACTGAGCAATATCTGGAAGAATACAGAAGGGGAAACTCATGTGTATTCTCTGTGAGGCTATGGTGGAGGTCAGAGTCCAAATCCTAAGTATGTAAGTCTTGCAGGTTATAGAACTGATCAGTATCAACGAAGAGCTGTAAAAGCAAGCAAATAAAAAAGGTTTAAAAATTTGTAAACAAAAAAACAAACAAACTGCTCTGTCCTCAAGTCTTATTTTATACAGCCTTTACTGTATTTAACCACTTCAATACCGGACACTTTTACCCCCTTCCTGTCCAGGCCAATTTTCAGGATTCAGCGCTATCCCACTTTGAATGACAATTGCGCAGTCATGCAACACTATACCCAAACTAAGTTTTCATCATTTTGTTCACACAACTAGAGCTTTATTTTGGTGGTATTTAATCACCTGTGGGGTTTTTATTTTTTTGCTAAATTAACAAAAAAAAGACTGAAAAGTTTGGGGAAAAAACACTTTTTTCTTTTTCTGTTATAAAAGTTTGCAAATAAATAATTGTTCTTGATAAATTTAGGCCAAGATGTATTCTGCTACATTTCTTTGGTGAAAATAACCCAAATCAGTATTTATTCATTTGTCTGTAGGAAAGTTAGAATTCATAAACTATGAGATATATCTGAAAATTGATCCTGAAGTACTGACAGCCAATCTGATTTCTTGAGGCCCAAAAATGTCAGTACAGTACAATATCCCCCAAATGAGCCCTTTGTGCAAAGTAGAAAGTCCAACGTATTTCATAAACGGAATGGTGAGTTTTTAAAAATTGTAACTTTTTTGTAATTTTGTTTGAAAATTAAGAAATTAAAAAAATTATTTTCAAAATTTTTTTTTAACATACTCTCACTAGTGCCGTACAGCGTCATCACAAGCGATGATCAGGGACACTGACTGGTGACAGTACGAAAAAAAAAAATTGATAATTTAAAAATTTTTTTTTTTTATTATTATTATCTTTTATTACATTTTTTTCTTTTTTTAAGATTTTTTTTTTTCATGTTACACTATCTCCAAGTTATTATAATGTTACCATAGTATAATTGTACTACTTTGGGGAAGTGATTGGTATTTTTTTTTTTACACAATTTGATTGCTTATAGCAAGCATTTAACTGAATGAAATCAATTCATTCAGGTTTTTTTTTGTTGTGATTAGCTGTAATTGGCCACGGCTAATCAAATGAAATAGATGGGCTGTGATTGGCCCAGCCTGTGCATGTGATCACTGTGACCATTCACAGCTAGACACTTGTATACATTGGATGGCATGAAAGTAAGCCATCCATTGTTTACAACTGTTATGTGACCTGCTGTGATTGGTCATAGCAGGTCAAATGGTACTGGCAACGGGCCAGTGCACAGATCTGTCATCAACTGTGCCCGAGGTACACAGCCGGTGACAGATCTCGCCACAGCGCGGCCCTGTGGGCACGCACAATGCACGATTCGGGAAGAACATCATATGATGCCCAGCTGGTTCAACAAGAATCCCGCCCGGTCAATAGGAAAATTACAGCCGGGTGGGATTCTTGTCAATCCAAGGGGCTTTATATGAAGTGGTTAGAAAAAAAAAAACTGAACTTTGACCATCAAAATAATGATTTGCTTCTTCCTGGCTACCAGCTCTGAAAATATAATTGTTATAAATAGACTTCAATATATTTCACAGCTTCCTGATTTTCTACACCACCTTTGGCTATTTCTAGATGCAAATATCATTATGAAAAATGTATCGACAATTGTTCCAGCAAGTACTGGGCACAGAGACTGAACTTATTCTGCTGCAGAAACTAATTGGTTTCAAATTGGAGCGATACTGACTATTGTAGATAAGTGCGTAACTAATTTGTTTAGATTCTGCCCGGAATGTGACCCTGAAAGAAAATGAAAATTTGTACACTTCGAGATCTTGGAGTCTGTCCTGCCAATCCCTGTCCATTGTTCAGATATCCAGTGATTTGTATATTTGGTTTGCGACATTGTTCTGTGAACGCCAGGCAATGAACCATTGAGCTATGGGCTGTATTTTCTTCAAGAGATTTATACCTTTTGTAGTGGATGAAATACTGAGCTTCTGCAAACCAATTTTGTAGAATAATAGGCTTTAATACGTCGACGTGGTGCTCCAGAGAGATTCTACATCATAGTTCTTTGATTATGATAAAACAGGAGTTCTTATCCCAAGTCTGAGATTTAGCACTGTCTGATTCAGCAGAACTTGCTGACTTTACAATAAGACAGTGTAATAGGTCAGATAAAGGGAATTGTTTATTGGACTTCTCATCCTGCTTTGAGATTTATTTAAGGCAGGTGATTTTGGTAGCAGTTATAAATGTATGTATATCATAGTAGACTTTTGTTAGATTGGATACTTGTATTCACAATATAAAATAGAAATATAGATAGTTGTAATGGGAGAAAGGCTCAACTGTTTGTGGCAGCAGCAAACCATGCACCGGACCGGGACACCCAGGACCAGCCCTAGAAGGTTTGTTCAGCATTTGTATTCAACAAGGCAGTAGCCAAATCTAGTTTCAGGATGTCTTGTACAGCAAGTCCATAACATAAAACAGTTGCTTGTCTTTGCAACTAACTAAACTCATGTCAGTTTCTAACAGGGTTCCCATCAAAAAAAATAACAGACAGCACATGTATCTTTTTGGTGTTCTGTCAGCCTTTCCATCCAGCAGCAGAGAGAGCAAATGAGAGACCTGAACTTTAAGCTGGTCATAGATGGTTCAAATCTCAGCCGATTCAGCAGGAATCGGCCAAGATTCGCACCATCTATGGGCAGGCTGATTGTACCCAAGTCAATTCATGGATAGACTTGGATACAGCCAGCATGTCGGATATTTACATGCAAATATTGCCAGCAGCCATAGCCTCTAGCATTAATCATTGTGTTCCCCCGGCGGGTTCGGCTCCCTGTGCCCACCCCCCTCTAACCCCCTCCCAAACCTCCCATCCCCGCCAAGAGATCTCAGTAGGTCTGCAGAAGGCATTTCGGGAATTTTCCTTCCCTCAATCTGTGGTTGTATGAAAGAAAATGGCATCATCTATGGCCTGCTTTAGTCAGCTTGCATATACAATTGCTTATGCTCAGCTGAAACAACTATTATTGAGTTCTGGCTACCAGGTAAGATGTGGACCTAGGAATGGAGAATTTATCTCACCCAAAACTCTACAAAGGTTCGGGGACCAGGAGCAGAATATATTAAGATTGAGGAAAAAAACATTTTTCTCCATATCTGTCATCAACCCTGTAACCCAGTGGTCTCTAAACTGTGGCCCAGGGGACAGATGCGGCCCTTTGATTGCCTTTATCTTGCCCTTGGGGCACTATTCTTCCCACTGATATGAGGCACCATTCCTTCCACTAACACCAACATTGGGAGATAATTCCTCCCACTGATATGAGGCACCAATTCCTTCCAGTAACACCAACATTGGGAGATAATTCCTCCCACTGATATAGACTACAGAACACTATTGCTTCCACTAACACTAAAGATGGTGCACTTTTCCTCCCACTGGTACCATCATTGAGGTACTGTTCCTTCCACTGACATCAACAATGGGGCATAATTCTATCCACCAATATAAAATATAGAGCATTATTACTCCCGCTAACACTAAAGATGGGGCACTTTTCCTCCCACTGATACCATCGATGGTGCACTACTCCTGCCACTGCACATAGAGCTTTTCATTTAAAGCATTGAAGTTATGGGACCACTCACTGATAGATTTGATGACCCCTGGCCATTTAAATGATGTAGGAACAAAATCATGAGCCATAGAGAATCCCCCACAATGCTAGGTAAATGTGGGAAAAATGGCTATACTTGTAATATTTGCTGTGGATATGAGTTGTTTAAAGTTCTTTTTGAGGTGTTCATTTGAAACTGCAGATGTGTATTTCTTGTGCTAATGCTTCAAGTTATCACATTATGTTTTCTGAATATTCTAACAAATAATTTATACTCCATTTTATTCCATATTTCCATTTCTGCAGGAACGTTTAAAGTTGGTGACAGTGCTGGGTGCAGGTCTGCTGTGTGGAACAGCATTAGCAGTCATTGTCCCAGAAGGCGTCCATGCTCTCTATGAAGAAGCACTAGAAGGTAGGTGTGATTATTACTCATAGATTGTTCCTTTGAACCACCTGTTATTGTGTAGAGTCATCCAAAACCAATGTCTCCATTTGGAGTGGAGTTTGGCAGGGTTCTCTGGTAGGTCTTTACTGCTGTCTGGGATCCCTGCTAGGTCCAGGTTATCTATTGCAGAAGTGTATTCTTTGTAAAGAATACACTAGTGGATATAGGACATAGAGGTTTTTGTGTCATGTACTATGTAGTCAATTTTTGACTGAAATAAATGGAGAATTCAAAGCTGAATTCTTACCAAAAACAAATTTGGGACATTTGCACTGTAAAAATAAATGACCACTAATGTAGTTTGTGCCATGTATGGATGCTGCCGCTTTTGGGAAAATGCTTACTTTCAATAAGATCTTATAGCACAGTAAGTGCTGAGTGTCTGATGATGAGACTTGCCCTTCCCGGTGGTGTACATAGATGATAGCGGGTCACTCGCGCTGCACTTCCTCTATTCACAGAATGCTGTGTATTCTGCGAAGGTGCAGAGCAAGAGACCTGCTATCATCTGTTTACACCAGCCCGGAGTGCTAAGTCTCAATGTCGGACATTCAGCACTTACTATATGGGTTGAATTGGATAAGAGTTTTCCCTAACCACACGTGGCATGTTATTGGTCAATTACTTTTGCAGTGCAAATGTCAAAGTTGTTTTTGGCCAGAATTCAGCTTTAATTAGTAAGGTTCAAATGTTGCAGATTGGTCCTCTTTATGTTCTGCTTTTTCACGTTCAATATAAATGTGGCCTTATACACTATATTGCCAAAAGTATTGGGACGCCTGCCTTTGAACACACATGAACTTTATTGGCATCCCAGTCTTAGTCTGTAGTATTCAATATTGAGTTGGCCCACCCTTTGCAGCTATAACAGTTTCAATTCTTCTGGGAAGGCTGTCCGCAAGGTTTAGGTGTGTATCTATGGGAATGTTTGACCTTTCTTCCAGAAGACCTTGCTTTGTGCACTGGTGCACAGTCACTTAGCACAATGCATTCAGGCAAGTATTGTTCTCCTGGCAACCACCAAACCCAGCCACGTCCATTGGATTGCTAAACAGAAGTGTGATTTGTCACTCCAGAGAACACGTCTCACCTGTTCTAGGATCCAGTGGCAGCGTGCTTTACACCACTGCATCCAAGGCTTTGCATTGCACTTGGTGATGTAAGACTTGGATGCAGCTGCTCGGCCTTGGAAACCCATTCTATGAAGCTCTCTTTGCACTGTTGTTGTGCTAATCTGAAGGCCACACGAAGTTTGGAGGTCTTTAGCTATTGACTCTGCAGACAGTTGGCAACTTCTGCGCACTGTGTGCTTTAGCATGCGCTATCCCCGCTCTGTAATTTTACGTGGCCTACCACTTCATGGCTGAGTTGCTGTTGTTCCAAGTTGCTTCCACTTTATAATACCACTAACAGTTGACCATGGAATATTTAGTAGCAAGGAAAATTTGTGGATGGACTTATTACACAGGTGGCAGCCTATCACGGTACCAATGTTGAATTCACTGAGCTCCTGAGAGCGACCCATTCTTTCACAAATGTTTGTAGAAGCAGTCTGCATGCCTAGGTGCTTGATCTTAAACACTTGTGGCCATGGAGGTGATTGGAACACCTGAATCCATTGATCTGTTGTGGTGTCCCTATACTTTTGGAAATATAGTGAATCTGTATATATACTTAGCTGCCTGTTTCTCTGGATCTATTGAATGTTTGACATGCTATATTCACTTTGCATGTGACCCCGCCCCATCAATGATGTTACATGTGGCAGGGTCACTCGGGTGATGTCCCCAGGTGGCCCCGCCCCTTAATATTTAAGAACTGTCAAACCACCGGAGCAGGCAGAAGGCTGAAAGCCATCGTCAAAAGCGGAGCCTTTTTTTAAATTCTTTTTTTGGGTCGGCGGCGGAGGCGGTGACGGCGATCATCGTGATTGACGTTGGATCTACTGTGGGGGACATTCTTTTAGTTTTTTCTTTTAATAAAGGACTTGTCAAAGACCATGTCCTGTCTTTTTTTTTACACTACACTTTTTGTTTTTTTGTGAATGAGTAGGGGTACCATGTACCCCATACTCATTCATATGGGGGAGCCTGGATCTGGGGGCCCCCTTGTTAATGGGTGCTTCCAGATTCCGATAAGCCCCCTGCCCGCAGACCCCCACTACCAGCGGCCAGGGTTGTGGGGAAGAGGCCCTTGTCCCCCATCAACTTGGGGACAAGGTGCATTGGGGGGAGCCCTCCCTGCCCCAAAGCATCCCCCCATGTTGAGGGCATGTGGCCTGGTATGGTTCAGGAGGGGGGGCACGCTCGCTTGCCCCCCCCCCCCTCCCCTTTCCTGACCTGGCAGGCTGCATGCTCGGATAAGGGTCTGGTATGGATTTTGGGGGGGACCCCCCAGCTTCTTTTCTTTTGTCGTGGGAGTTCCCCTCGAAATCCATACCAGACCCGAAGGGCTTGGTATGGATGGGAGGGGGTCCCCACATCATTTTTTTATTATAATGCCGGTTTTTAAATGTAATTACCGCTTTTTTTTTCTTACTATAGCTCAGAAATTCAGCTTTCACTTTCCCCCCAGCTAAAAGAAAGAAAGTTTTCTTTTAGTTTATTTCCCGAAGTTAAGAGAGACAATACTTCCTTTTAGATTCTTAAAAGACGTTTCCGTTAACTCCGGGGAGAGTGACCGCTAATTCTGTGAGCTATAGTAAAGGAAAACAAAAAGCCGGCAATTGCATTTAAAAATCAGCACTGACATACACTTCGTATTGCGAAAAAAAATTTGTAAAACATTTGTAAACCGAGGCATTATTTTCAATGGATTTTCATTCGTAAACCGAAAATTATGTTACTGAGGCATTCGTAAAACGAGGTATTATTGTATATTAACCCCTTCCCGCCGACGCCTCCCGGCCCTTTAAGAGATTCAGACGCCGGGAGGCGGGGCGGTTGGGGCGTGGTTTAGGAATCATGTGACCGCCGTGATGATGCGTCACGGCGGTCACATGATCGGGAGAGGTCCCGATCGAAAGAGCGGACCGGGACCTTTCCGTGAGTACCACACATGTGTGCTGGGAGCGCGCAGGGCGCGCGCTCTCAGCACATATGTATTTAGTTACATGGACGCAAATGTGGGACCGCTTGGCGTCTAGGCCCAGACGCCGGGAGGCCGCACATTTGTGTGCGGCCAGCGCAAAGGGGTTAAAGTATAACTAAAGACAAAACTTTTTTTCTTTTGTTTTAGTTTTGGATAGAGTGGAGAGGAATTAGAACACCTGTCAGTTTTTTATGCTGTCTGTGCCACCATTAGGGAGATTCACCATCTCTATTTCTCCTGTTTACCATTCTCATTGAAGGTAAAAAAAAAAAAAATCCCAAATTTTGGGTTGTCCCTAGAAAAGGGAGGAAATCTTCCAATGGAGACACCAAGGCCCTGGGGTCCCCAAGGAATTCCCTTAATTTGCAGGGATTTCCTCTTACTTTCTGTTTGGCTATAGAACAGGAAGTATAGGGAAATCTTCACAATGGGACACCAATGGTTAAAGAAAAAAAAGAAAACCTGACAGGGGTTATAACCCTCCCTTACTCTACCCAAAATGCAAAAAAAAAAGTCTTGCCTATTCTATTTTAAAGGTAATTGGTTTTATTCCATTATCTAAGCATCTTATTTTATAGTAGTTTCCACACCTATGCACTGTATATGCACCTATCGCAGTAATATGCATTAAACTTTGTATTTTAAGGTGCTGTTTATGTGCATTATAGTACATTTTTTTTTGTACTCAATGGCACCAGAATGCGCATAAATGGTATAAACAAATGCAAAACTCAAACTGGAAAATATAATCTGCCTAATCTACCTAAATTATTATTAGACCAGCAATGGTTTTAGGCTACTAATAGATGTAATGTAGCTGTTGGACATAAATTTGTAAAATGCATAAAAAAAAGTTTTCTGGTGTCTTTAGGCAACAATATGCATCTACATCTGTTGAGGCAATATATATTGTAGGCAGACCTTTAGCTTTGTCCACCACTACTAGTGTATATCGACACTTTTTCAGATATTTAATTTTCATTCTGTTCATCTTTAGCTAAACATCATGAAATTGGAGAAGTCCAGAAAGTGAAGGAATCCGAGACTGGAGCTGAGGTCTTGGCTACACATGATCATGATCACTCTAAATTACATGCTTACATTGGAGTCTCATTAGTACTTGGCTTTGTATTCATGCTGCTGGTGGATCAGATTGGTAGCTCTCATGTGCATTCGACAGAAGGTATGTATGGCAGCTAGGGGATAGATACAGACTGATTTACTTCCAGGTATTAAATTGACTTGTTATTCTTTTCTAGATCCAGAGGCAGCAAGAGCAGCCAGTTCCAAAATCACCACAACTCTGGGTCTGGTGGTGCATGCTGCAGGTGAGTGGCACTTCGTTGAAACTTACATGGCACTAGTTGCATTTAATAGGTAAACAAGCACAGTTTTGTGACTTATTAATAAAATAAAATATATTTTTTCCTCTGAATTCTAGCTGATGGTGTTGCTCTCGGAGCTGCAGCTTCTACTTCCCAGACCAGCGTTCAGCTGATTGTGTTTGTCGCCATCATGTTGCATAAGGTACAGGCTTAATAATGTTCCTAATTTGTTGTGTCTTGTTTGAAATTTTGAAAGTAATCACTAGACTTAAGCTTGGACATCTGACAAGCTTGCAGTGTGGGATATAAACATCCCTTGTGACAGCAGTAGGCAGTGACAGGTACTCTTTATGGATAGGTTGGAGGTTTATTGGAAACACCATCTCTCCTTTGACCTCCAGTGCAGCCGATCAGACACAGATCCGTCTGATTGGCCGCTTTACTGGCCAGTAACTGAACAGTAAATAAAGAGTCAAAACTGGAAGTGAGATGGTCATCGCTTCCAGTTTCTGAACTCATACAGTGGGAGGTTCTCAGATTGTGTCAGGAGCCAGATACCGCCGGTCATATCCTTACTGCACTCTCCGATTGCTCAGGATAGCCTGGTAAAGGCAATGGCAGGAGGGAGGTGGGACCCCTTTCTGCCACCTGTTAAAGTAATCCAGCAGCTGCTCAGTCGCTGTGAATACTTTTACCTGAATGAGAATCTCTGGGGCTAAATATTGATACCGGGATCATTGTTGTAGCCTCAACCGTGATCCTGGTATAACCGCTCCATTATGAGGCCATATATTTATGTATGGCGGTAGGGAAGTGGTTAAAAACTACTTTGACGCTCTCAGTTCTGCCCTTTATTTCAGATATAACTTATGCAGCGAGGGGTCTCTCTGATGACCCCCTCTTACTTCTTACACTATTATTACAATTAGATCCCCCTCGCTTCTTTTGGAAAGTGAACTCCTATTGGCTATTGCTAATTTCTTCCCTGGAAGGTATACTGATAGACTTAGCGGTATACGGTACAACTAAAATATCCTCCGTGTCAATCCCTGTATATTGGGATTTACTGAGAACTTACCTGAGAGGGATCCTTATTTCACAAATCTCTAAGATTAAAAAGCAATCCACAGCATGGGAAAAGTCGCTAGCAGATAGAGTTTCTCAGACAGAGTTACAATACAGTGCATCCAGAAAGTATTCACAGCGCTTAACTTTTGCCAAATTTTGTTATGTTATATCCTTATTCCAAAATGGATTACATTCATTTTTTTCCTCAACATTCTACAAACAATACCCCATAATGACAATGTGAAAGAAATTTGTTTTGAAATCTTTGCAATTTATTAAAAATAAAAGACGAAAAAAAATACATGTACTTAAGTATTCACAGCCTTTGCTATGCCACTTAAAATTGAGCTGTGGTGCATTCTGTTCCCACTGATCATCCTTGAGATGTTTCCACAACTTGATTGGAGTCCACCTGTGGGAAATTCAGTTGATTGTACATGATTAGGAAAGGCATAAGCCTGTCTATAGAAGGTCCCACAGATAACAGGTGCACTGTCAGAGCACAAACCAAGCCATGAAGTCCAAGGAATTGTCCGTAGTTCTTTGAGACAGGACTGTATCAAGGCTCAGATCCGGGGACGGGTACAGAAAAATTTCTGCAGCATTGAAGGTCCCAATGAGCAGAGTGACCTCCATCATCCGTAAATGGAAGAAGTTTCGAACCACCAGGAATCTTCCTAGAGCAGGACGCCCGGCTAAAATGAGCGATCGAAGGAGACAGGCCTTAGCCAGGGAGGTAAGCAAGCACCTGATGGTCACTCTGAAAGAGCTCAGCGTTTCTCTGTGGAGAGAGGAGAACCTTCCAGAAGAACAACCATCTCTGCAGCATTCCACCAATCAGGCCTGTATGGTAGAGTGGCCAGATGGAAGCCACTCCTCAGTAAAAGGCAAATGGCAGCCTGCCTGGAGTTTGCCAAAAGGCACCTGAGGGACTCTCAGACCATGAGAAACAAAATTCTGGTCTGATGAAACGAAGATTAAACTCCTTGGACTGAATTCCAAGTGTCATGTCTGGAGGAAACCAGGCACTGCTCACCACCTGGCCAATATCATCCCTACAGTGAAGAATGGTGGTGGCAGCATCATGCTGTGGGGATGTTTTTCAGCAGCAGGAACTGGGAGACTAGTCAGGGTGGAAGGAAAGATGAATGCAGCAATCTACAGAGAGATCCTTAATGAAAACCTGTTCCAGAGCACTCTGGACCTTAGACTAGGGCGATGGTTCATCTTTCAACAGGACAACGACTAAGCACACAGCCCATGTAACAAAGGAGTGGCTACGGGCCAACTCTGTGAATGTCCTGGAGTGGCCCAGCCAGAGCCCAGATTTGAACCCGATTGAACATCTCTGGAGAGATCTGAAAATGGCTGTGCACCAACACTCCCCATCCAACCTGATGGAGCTTGAGAGTTACTGCAAAGAAGAATGGGAGAAATTGCCCAAAAATAGGTGTGCCAAGCTTGTAGCATCATACTCAAAACGACTTGAGGCTGTAATTGGTGCTAAAGGTGCTTCAACATAATATTGAGCAAAGGCTGTGAATACTTATGGGGTATTGTTTGTAGAATGTTGAGGGAAAAAATTAATTGAATCCATTTTGGAGTAAGGCTGTAACATAACAAAATGTGGCAAAAGTTAAGCGCTGTGAATGCTTTCTAGATGCACTGTATATTGTCAACCCTACTGCAGACAAATAACTTGAATGGATGCAGAGTCAACAAGCTTACACAGAAGTTTCTCTTAGGAAGGCAGAGCAGAATAGTTTTTTTCCACAAAAAGCCTTACTATGAGGAGTTGGAAAACATTGGCTACCTATTAACTGCTATAATAAAGGCCCAAAGACCATCAACATATATTTCAGAAATTTAAACACCAAGATATTTGATACTGCGGGGATCTCCACAGTTTTTGTGACTTCTTTCAGAACTTGGTTTGGATTTGGGCCTCGTTTTCTTCAATGGGTGCAGCTTATTTATGCTGCTCCAGTGGCCAGTGTTCAGGTCAACAAGCATGTCTCCAACTCCTTCCCATTACATTGAGGGACGTAAAAGGGTCATCTCCTGTCACCTCTTTCACCCTGGCACTGGCGCCTCTGGCAGCTGCTATTCGCCAATCACATGATATTGTTGGCTTTTGTACACCCACAGGTGAAGATAAATTGGCACTGTACGCTGATGACACCCTATTATTTTTGGGTGACACCTCATCCTCTCTGGTAGTGGTTATGTCCCTAATCAGCATGTATGGTCCTTATTCATTCTTCACCATTAACTGGGACATGTCTGTTTCATTGCATCCTAGAATTAAACTTTTTATATTGCAGCTGCCGAAGGATGGGGGGGGGGGGGGGGAGAGGAAGGTTGACAGTACCTAATTCTAGACTTTATTTTATAGCCTCCCAGCTACAACCTTTGTATGGTTGGAATGAAGCAAATTTACATAATTCCATACAGGGTATTATTCTGTCACTATTCCCTGTAACTCCACTTCTATAGCTGGTAGTGGCTCACCATTTTCAGGCGAAGCGTAGTTTCCCATTTCATTTGATACATAAATTATGGACCACGATACAGGATATTACTGAGCATAACGGTTATACCAAGCACATGCTGCTTTGGGATAACCCTTGTTTAGCAGAGTTGGAAAAGTTTGAGGGATTTGATCATTGGAACAGGGCTGGTATTCAGTTTCCTTATCAAATATATGAGAGCAATGTGTTGTTACTGTTTAATATCATTGCTGCCCGCTATAAGCTTTCCCACAAATATTTTTTCCCATATCTGCAACTGCGTCATGTGCTGCAGAGTCGAGTATCCACAGTTAAGTTTATATATAACCCTTCTACAGTATTATCTGTGGCACAGATGTCAAACTGGTGGCTCTCCAGCTGTTGCCAAACTACAAGTTCCATGAGGCATTGCAATATTGACAGTTACACGCATGACTCCCAAAGATAGAGGCATGATGGGACTTGTAGTTTCATTGGATGATGAGGAGTGGACTCAGGCCTTGAAAATGTTACCAAAAGTTTCTCTTTCCCCTTTTCACCATAACACCTAGCTCAACTGTTCATACTACATAGAGTACACTATACCCCATTGAAACTCCACTCTTGGGGAAGAGCATCATCCTCACTGTGCCCTAGATGTTCTGTAGCCAATGGATCACTTTTACATACATTGTGGCGTTGCCCAAAATTACATCCCTATTGGAAATCTATTTTTCATGCCTTGAATTCTCTGTGCTCCACTCTGGTAGGAATGGACCCCAAACCAGCATTGGGCATTATTACAGATGGGTTACTACTGAAAAAATGCATTTAATGTGGTACAGTCTTTTTATTTGGCTCGTTTACGTTCACATTAGGCAGACAGGAGCTTACTTCTAAACACGGGATGCCTGAAAAAGTATAAAAAAAATATGGTCCAGGTGGCTGGAATTTAATAACCCCTTCTGCCTCTCTGGTTCTCAGGGCAACAGTAAAGGTACTTGACAGTAAAGGTAGAGCCAGTGTGACATGTGCTTAAGTTGTGGAGCTGGTCAACATAAAATTGGGGTAGAGGGTAAAGATAGCAAGCAAGTTTTAGTACTTCTGATTTAGCTTTACTGCTTGCTGTCCACATTTAACTTCCCTTTTTCTCTGACTGTTGAGTGTCTCCTATGTATTGCATGATATGGTAGAAACAGCATTATGTATCTGTCCAGCATACAGGAGGACAGGAGGTGTGTTACTGGCCAGTTTATCAGGTGAAAAACAGAGTTATGATTAGGCACCAATTGGCATGAAATGCATCTACACTTGCTCTTGCTGTGTATCATACTATTTGGACTTTTTTGATCTTTTCAGTTAACTATAGTAACAACAGTGTGTGGTCATTCACCTCTTAATTGTCCATGTTCTGCAGTATGAGCCAAACTGGGCACCGATACCTGTGTTTTTTAAAGTTAAAGAGAAGTGGACCATTGTGGTGCGGTGTATAGTGCTTTTGAATTGTTGGATCTTGTATAATTCACTTGCTCAGTAAATGTTCCATTGGCCTTCTCTGACTTTAAATATACACTATATTGCTAAAAGTATTGGGTCTCCCCTCCAAATCATTGGATTCAGGTATTGCAATCACTTCCATGGCCAAAGGTGTATAAAATCAAGTACCTAGGCTTGCGGACTGCTTCTACAAACATTTGTGAAAGAATGGGTCACTCTTAGGGCTCAGTCACACTTGACTGTTTTACCAACTCTTGCCAAACGCCCCTATAGCGTTTGGCAAGCGTTGGTCCAGCGTTTGCAGAGCGTTTTTTAACGCTCCGCAAACGCCACATGCGTGGTTCAGCGGCAGTTGCTAGGCGTTTGCCGAGCGTTAAAAATGCCCTACAAACGCCTATAATGAAGTTTGAATGGTGTTACCGCTCCGCAAATGCCCGCAACCGTGTGTCGCAAATGCTGGCCGGGCGTTTGCAGAGCGGCACCATAGACTAGAATAGGAGGCTTCAACGCCTCCTGACTCGACCAGAGGTGTCCGTTTTGCCGCGACGCGACACTGACGCTCCCGTTAGAACAGCACCATGTGCTGCAATGTGCAGAATTGTCCGAGGCGTTTGGGAAGCGGTAAAAAACGCTTCCCAAACGCCTTTCTGCCGCCTGCACACAACCCTAGTGTGAACGTAGCCTTAGGAGCTCCATGAATTCAAGCGTGGTACTGTGATAGGTTGCCACCTGTGCAATAAGTCCATCTGTGAAAAGTCCTTGCTACTAAATATTCCACGGTCAACTTAGTGGTATTATAACAAAGTGGAAGCAACTGGGAACAAGAGCAATTCAGCCATAAAGTGGTAGGCCACGTAAAATGACAGAACGGGGTCAGCTCATGCGCACAGTGCACAGAAGTCGCCAACTGTCTGCAGTGTCAATAGCTAAAGATCTCCAAACTTTGTGTGGCCTTCAGATTAGCACAGCAACAGTACATAGAGAGCTTCATGGAATGGGTTTCCATGGCCGAGCAGCTGCATCCAAGCCTTACATCACCAAGTGCAATGCAAAGCGTCGGATGCAGTGGTGTAAAGTACGCCACTGGACTAGAGCAGTGGAGACGTGTTCTCTGGAGTGACCAATCATGCTTCTCTGTCTGGCATTCCGATGGATGTGTCTGGGTTTGACGGATGCCAGAACGGTACTTGCCTGACTGCATTGTGCCAAGTGTAAAGTTTTGGTGGAGGGGAATTATGGGGTTTGTTTTTCAGGGCTTTGGCTTGACCCCTTAGTTCCATTGAAGGGAAACTCTTAAGGTGTCAGCATACCAAGACATTGTGGACAATTGCATGCTCCCAACTTTGTAGGAACAGTTTGGGGATGGCCGCTTTCTGTTCCAACATGACTGGGCGCCAGTGTACAAAGCAAGGTCCATAGAGACATGGATGAGCGAGTTTGGGGTGGAGGAACTTGACTGGCCTGCACAGAGTCCTGATCTCAACCTGGAGACTGCGAGCCAGGCTTTCTTGTCCAACATCAGTACCAGACCTCACAATTGTGCTTTTGGAAGAATGGTCAAACATTCCCATAGAGACACTCCTAAACCTCGCGGACAGCCTTCCAGAAGAGTTGAAGCTGTTATAGCTCCAAAGGGTGGGCCAACTCAATAATGACTAGGATGCCATTATAGTTCATGTGCGTGTAAAGGCCGGTGTCCCAATACGCAGTATAGTGTATGTTCAAATCTACAATTTCTTTTATTAAATATGCTATTTTACATTTTTTAATAATGTCCAATAGCAGCACACAGGAAGGTGTTAGCTGCACCTTTATAACTTTGATTGACAACCCTTTGCTAGCCAGTCAAATGTCTGTGACACGCGCTGCCATGCCCGACAGGAATGTAACAGAGTTTACTCTATAGTAGCCCTCTCAGTGGCCAGGCTTCTTTAATTTTGGATTTAGAGATTCAGCTTAATAGTTTTTATTATAGTTTTATTGAAAGGAAGGAAAAATGGTGCAAGAACATATTTAGATGTTACAGTAAGCAACAGCAAAAAAAAAAATTAATTAAAATGAAAAGTATGTGGCAAAATTCACCTAGTCTCTGGTTTCAGCAGAGTCTAGTTTGATTCAGAATAAGTCCCATCTGATAGTCACTGGCTTTCATACTTGACTTTTAGCACTACTGCAAAACGGGAGCTGCAGCAGCTTTTAGGGTGTTGCTGAGCCAAACTCCACCCGATCAGTAGAGCTGAGGGGTGGGATAGTGGAGAGCTGAAATGTCTTTGCAAATTATTTAAACTATAGCTATATTTTCAGATGACAATGTTTTATGGTCTGACAACCAGTGTATTATTGAATTGATTGAAATTGCAGCTCGAAAGACACAGCGTACTATAAAGTCAGATGCATATATCCCTTCAGAGATAGAAAGAAGAATTCCAGGTATGGATATGTTTACATAGTTACATTAGTCCACCTTGAACCAATGTAAATATGTACATACTATGCCTGTGGGATCGATCTAGAAGCTTGATTTTGCTGTAATAGAAACCGCTATTACAGTGATCTCTACTAGCTTCCAGATCCTATGCTGAGTGGCTGCCCTGCTTCATTAAGATCATTGGGTCGCCTGCTTGGCACGGGAATAATTCAGAGATCACAGTGCATTTTGTCAATGAATACAAAGTGTTCTCTGTGACATCACGCTCTTCACTTCATCCAGTGAAAGAATGCTTTGCACTCAATGAGAGAATGCAAAGCATTCAGTGAATGGCACCTGTCCCCTGTTACCTACCTCCTGTTTTCAGTAAGCAGCAGGGCAGCTGCTTGGCACTGGACTCAGAAGCTAGTGGAGATCACTGTAGTAGGGGTATCTACTTCAGTGATTTTCAGTTTCTGGAGACATCCCACAGGTATGGTGTATGCAGAGTAACATTGTTCCAAGCTGCACATTTTGAAAATTGTGTGAAACGTAACTCTAGGCAGTTAATTTGCTGTCTGAGCAATTTGCGCAGGAAACTCCAAGGGCATCAGCAGTGGATACTGTGCAATGCTTGTAACACACTCCCATAGATCAGCCAATTTTTATTTCTAGTTCTGCTGAGCAACATCATGTGACCCAAACACAAAAGAGATCCTATCACCATCTTTAAAAATGTGGGTAAAATCACATAAAAATCTAGTATATTAAATGCATTTTTTTCCTCACTTGTAATGTGTCTTGAAACTCACTAGAGAACTTGAGCACTTCAGGAGAAGTCTATTCCATAGCACAGATACTTCCCCCCTTCCTTCTGCAATGTCAAAACTTTCCTGTGGTGGCCCAGCTCCTCAGGCCTTTGTATGTTTGTAATGAGTTCACAAAATACAAAGGCTTCTGTGAATGGAAAGAAGGAGGGGAGGGGCAGGCATAGTCGTTCCAGCGACTCTGCTCTTGAAGGAATTGTGACCACAATGAGCAGTGTCGGAGCTCCGGAAGTTATCTTCCTCATGGTATGCCTGCAGTTTTTACATAGCAGCTAAATTTCTGGAATTCAGCTTTAATTTACACATTTTTGCACTTATTATCTAATTCTTATAGACTGTCTTTTGTAAAAGAACCTGGAGTTGAGCTGTAAGTTTTAAGGAATATATTGTTATGCTTCTTTGCAGGCTCCAGCAGCATTTGGCTTAGTTTCGTTCCTCATGCACGCAGGGCTGGAGCGTAACCGCATCCGGAAGCATTTACTTGTATTTGCTCTTGCAGCCCCTGTCCTGTCAATGCTGACATATCTGGGATTGAGCAAGGTAAATCAGCTAGTATTTACAAACGTTTCTATTGATCCCTGTGGTCGGTGGGTATTCGACGTGTGTCAGGAAGTGATTTCTTAGAATTGTAATACTCTGTTTTGTGGATCTAATATTTTGTTTTTTTTTATCTTCTCTCACAGAGCAGTAAAGAGGCCTTGTCAGAGGTCAATGCCACTGGTGTCGCAATGCTTTTCTCTGCTGGGACATTCCTCTATGTAGCCACAGTCCACGTACTTCCCGAAGTAGGCGGAATGGGACACAGCCACAAACCAGACTCAGGTGCTGCTAAAGGACTGAGCCGTATAGAGGTGGTGGCCTTAGTCTTAGGATGTTTAATACCTCTCATTTTATCCGTTGGACATCAACACTGAAACAGCGGAGTTTTTCCAAAATCTGATTTGAAAAGCAATTCACACTGGACAGATCCAGGGACATTGTAGTGGGGCTCCCAATGTCTCTTAAACTTAGCATTTGTGTAGTCAGAAGTGACTTTAATAGAACTGGATTATGCCAGTGGGGTGATTTTAATTGTCTTACAATTCGGTGACTTCACCCAGACTTTCAGCCTGTACATAAATGTGTTTTTTTAATTATTGTTTTGCTGGCTATGTGTAGAATGCCACCCATTCAAGTAATGAATGACAGTGATGACTTTTGGGAAATGGTATAATGTTTCAATTTGTTTCCTCTACTAATTTTTTTTCTCTTCTTCAGAGTACTATGATGCCACACATTTAAACTCTTCTGTTGTCTGCTGGGGGACTCCTGAAGTTGCTAAGCATTTATGTTGGTGACTAGATGAAGAAGAGCTTTATATACCCCCATGCCAGTAATTTTAGGGTGCAGTCAGAGCTTACTAGAGTGATATCCACACTTATACAACCATACATAACATATATGGCCTCATTCTATAAATAACTGTAACAAGCCACAGGTTTTATTTTTACAGATTTAAAGAACCAATCACAACTAGACATATGCAAAAATCTAAAAGTTCAGTAGTTTCTATAAATATTCAGGCTTACTTGTGAAAGATTTCTATATACCCCTCTATTTAAGCACAGGTTTATTAGGGAGTAGGTCATCTGAAATCTGACTGTTGCTGCCCTACCAAAGAGTGTTACGGTTGTGATGGCCGCAACTTAAAAAAGGATAAAAGCACACTTGAACGCATTAAAAATGCATGTAAACACACGTGCAAAAAGGCACCTGGAAAGCTTGAATCATTTCATTGATGTGACAAGTTGACCATACTTCCTCTCATGTGACAAGCTAAATTGCTACCCAAAATAAAGCTATATAAGAATAAAAAATCTTAATAATAAAAAACCCTGCAAGTCTAGAAGAACCTAAGATAAACAGATGACATGCTCAGATCCTTCAGCCAAATTGTGACTGTTTTTCTTTAAATTCTATACAAGCCTTTGAATGCAGCAGCGGTATTCCATGTTTTCAGGTTATTAGTTGACTTGTCCGTATGGATATCTGTTTGGCCAGTTATAAATACTATCACAGATAACAATCAAAACCATCTGCATTCCTTGGCTGTCATGTATGTTAACCTGACACCATTATTTTGGATTTTTCATAAAATATATCGTAAGTATGTCTAATGTAGGATTACTGCTACTTGTAATTGTGCCAATGTTCTGATGTACCCACAGTAACCCAAAACTTAATTTAACAGCTTAGGAAAAGTCTTTGCTCTTTTGTCAGCAGTGTTCCCAAATAAGTATTTTAACAGTGCAGTGTTAATGTATAGGTATGAATTGGGCGTCATCCAAGTATTCCCAAATCAGATTGGTTCCTTGTACAAAATAATTGGCCCTTTTGCCTCCATTGTATAGAATATAAATGGCTGTTTTAATCTGAATTTCTTGAACTATGTGAATGTTGCTGTCCTCTTCAGATGTTCAGTGTACCTGCTGGACTGTACACATTGTTCTGTAATTGACCATACTGCCTCCAGGAGTTGTGATGCTGTTTGTAGTAATGCGGTTTTTGCTCTAGTAAATAGAGCGGACTGAGTATTTATAGCTATTGATTGATGGACGTCCACATTCCACGTGTATATATACATCTGCTGAGAATGTAAATTCTCTTTTGACTTGGTCTAAAGCTTTAAAGTTGGAGTGACTGAGCAATGCAGATGATATGTGTTTGGAGTCAGAGGATTACACTTCTTAGTTTTGTGTAGAGGTATATGTATCTGTTTTTAATGTGTACTAGTCACTCTGACACCAGCAGAGGCATCAATTTCTCCTTCTAATCAATAAAGGCTGTCATTTTACTATAAGTGGGTGACATCATGAAGGTGTCAGGTTTAGTCTTGAAAGAGATCATTATCCAGATTAAGGAACGACCTCATTTGTGGTTGGGCCAGCAAGGTAGTTATCTTTTAAAAAAAAAAACTCTGGGGCTTATTTATTAAATTAAAGTTGAACAGGGATTTTTTTTTCCCGGAGCAGATACTCTCTAGTGGCACAAGGCAAAGGAGTCAAAAGGAATGTGCAGACAATTCTGATGCTTACTTATCTTCAGGTGAACTGATGTAACAAGGCCTCACCTTCGTCCCAGTCATTTGCTGCCCCATAGACATTATACATCTGATACAGCCAGATTAGAAAGTTGTCATCTAAGGTTTGTGGGTACCTTTAGGGTCCGCACACTGGCTTAAAAATCGCCACTACTCTTTTCAGAAAAGTGCTTATTTTGAGCATTTTTTTTTTTTGTGTGTGTGAACGTTTAGGCACATTTCGCTTTTTTTCTGCCAGGACACTGCCCTCAAAAACACAAAACAGAAGTTTTTTTTCTTTTCTGCCTCTAAAAGCTGAGCTTTTAAATATGCCTCTAAATGTCCTAATGCGCATGGACACATAAGATAACAGTTGCTTCTACAGGCAAACAAAATTCTCTGGGAGCTGCGGTTTTTTAAGCCAGTGTACATGGACCCTTAAAGAACACAATGCCATTCCTTTTGCCATCTCCTCTAAGTAGTGTCTGTTGAAGACTCTTCATTGCTCCCTCTCTCATTGCATAGCTTTCTAGCAATCCCTAAAAAGCAGCTATGAAAACTCAGACTGGAAATCAGACTTTTAAAGGTAACATCCGTTCTGGATACAATGACAGCACCACTCCTTTTCCAATTGACTGGTTCTGTCTCGTTCTCTCCTGTCTATTGGTCAAGGTCAGCCAATATAAAACATAAAACTATCATTTTATCTAATGCGGAAAAGAAAAAAGGAAACTAAAAGTGTTACTAAAGGTAAATTTTTTTTGTAAATTAAAATAATACGTTTGTTATAGCCACCTACTCTCTGCAGTGGTTTTGAACAGAGTGGCCCCGAACCTCTTCTAGAATTCCCCCGCTGGTGACCCTTTTTTCTGTGCCCCCGTAGCAAGCCACTTGCTATTGGGGCACACAGTGTGTGCTCGCTCTCGAGCTGTGTGTTTCTATGGGGCCGTGCCTCATAGACACACACAGCAGGATTTAGCCCTGCCTCTGCTTCCTCACCGCTGCATTTGATTGACAGCGGTAGGAGCCAATGGCTCCTGCTGCTGCCAGAGTCCCTGTATGAAGAGGAGAGGGGAGAAGAGATGCAGCCATGGACAACACAGATCTCTTCTCCCATCTTTTCCCCTTTACACAAGGAAGGGGGAGGAGAGAAAGGAAAAAAAACATTTTTTACCTTAATGCAGGGAATATGTTAAGTTAAAAAACATTTGGGTATAGAACTACTTAAAGTGAAAGTAAGTTTTTACAAATAGTTCTGCAGCTGCTAACTAAGGATTGCAAGAGAGCTGAGATATGATAGAGAGAGCAATAAAGAGCTTAAAGCAGCCTCTATGCACAGGTACTTGGGTCAGTAAAAGAAATGGCATGGTTTACTTCAGGCTGTAGCCCAGAGCAGCCAATCAGAAATAATCTTTTTCTGAACTTTTGTTAACTGTCATCTGGTTACAGTTCATTCCCTTTACACTGCTTGATCAATGGGCTACTTTGCATAAAGAGCAGCAGCGATCATCCAAAAATCATTTTTCAGTGGTCTGACTACACCAAACTGCTTACATCCTATTAGTTGTTTTTCTGCACATCACATCATTGCTCTTTGCACCACTTTAATAAATAACCCTTATATGCCTTGATAGGATTGATTGTAATGATAGGTGAATCTTTTGTAATATGTTATCGAACGTCTGTTATTGTTAATCATTTAAGCCGATTTTTGTTCTGACTATGATTGTTTGTAGATCTTTACCTTGAAGTGTTGTTTACTAGAAGGTTATGGGGTTGTCCTGAGTGGAGATGTTCTACTGCACCTTTGTCAGTTCTTCCTATAGTATGTATCTCCTAGTGTTCCTGTAGTTGAGCCTTAAGCCAGATTTGTTACTGGAGGGACAGAGTGACCCTGGTTTAGGAAACGAGTTAAGCATGTTCACTTTGGAAAGAAATGCTCACTTAGCTTAGTAAATCTGGTGAAAATGTATTTGCAAAGAATACTCAATCTTGCACAAGGAAAATAAAAAAATGGATTTTTTTTTCTGGCATATTGGAGCTTCCCCACATTCACTAAGCTAGTTTCAGAGTAGAAATTCTATACTTCTTTAGTTCCCCTGGGGCCAAAGTGAACCTGTAGTCACATATGTGTTGGTAATGTGCCATTGGCTTGTTAGTACAGGCACCTCCAAGTGGTGCACCTCAGTTCATGTCTCCTTTTTATCACCCAGGACCTCCTAATCCTTGGACTCTCTGTTATGCAAATGTCATCTGGTTTCCTTAGCGAAGGGTTTGGCTGCAACCCCGCCACCTCAATATTGGCCCATCACTGTCTAGGTTAGCCACAGTGACTGTAAGTAGGGTACAGGTAGGGCTGGTCCAGGCTTCTAACTGGTGGAAATTTGCATAGCAGAATACAATGGGATTCTCGGGGTACCACATAGGAAAGCTGTACTGATCTGCTGCTTCTGGAGGTGTCTGCAGTGACATACCACTGATGCTTTACCATGGTTTCTGTGATATCAGGCTTTCTTTAATGGTACGGATTCTTTCCAACATGGCTGAAAATATAGGGATTTTTATTAACTTTAGTTGTCTCCTTTACCATTCTATCCAAACAAACATTGTTTAAAAACAAAAACTCTGTACTGTCCTATTTTATACTCTGATGATATTTTGACTACACATTCTTTGCTTTTTTTCCTTTACAAGTGAACCTGTCATTAGCTGTTTGCACAGACCTTGTTTGCTCTGTCAGTAGCTTCTGTATGCCTGGACTCCAGCAGCACGCCAGATTTGGAGTTGCGGCATGTCTGCCCCTGCATCCAACAGTGGACCCACCTCCATTAGGGTGGCCTAGGTGTGCGCATTGCA